CAGGGAAGGACTATGACGACCCCCCGTAAAGCAACACGGGGAGACGGCCATTGTCGCAGCGTGCTGCAAGTAATCCCGTTCACATCCGGGGAAACCAGGGGAGACCTGTGAAGAACAGTCGGAAGACGAACCAAGAAGATGTGGACAAATGTGGAGGAAACATGAGCAGCTGTGGGGGAGATGTGGGAAGAGGTGGGGAGAGGTGGGGGAGAGGTGGGGAGAGGTGGGGAGATGTGGGGGAGATGTGGGGAGAGGTGTGAGTCATCCAGCTCGCCGGCCCGCACGAGCGCGATGGCCGGCCAGTACAGCCCGAGCAGGCACTCGAAGGCGGAGAAGGCGAGCAGCAGCGCCTGAATGAAGAGCGTGCCCCTCCCTCACGTCACCCACCTCATTGGTGGAAAGACGGCCAGGCGAGCAGCAGCGCCTCGTACGAGCTCGAGACGACAGGCACCAGCAGGCAGAGCGCGGAGCCCGCAAACACACCGCCCAGGCAACTGTCATCGGGGACATATGGGGGGATCTGGGGAGATCTGGGGAGATCTGGGGAGATGTGGGAAGATCTGGGGAGATCTGGGGAGATGTGGGGAGATCTGGTGGGCGAGAGGCACGGTGAGGTCGGGCACGCTCCTCGACACAGGCAAGGACGACGACAAAGACAGAGGACCAGGCAATCTCGCGTACTCTCGGGGTGATCTCGGGTGATCTGGGGTGGCCATCGGGCGATCTCGGGCGATCTCGGGCGATCTCGGGCGATCTCGGGCGATCTCGGGCGATCTCGGGCGATCTCGGGCGATCTCGGGCAGCCTGGTGGGCGAGACGCCGTACGCGTCGAGCAGCGCGAAGCCCTGCGCGCCCGCCATCTTACTCACCATGAAGATGGAGAAGATGAGCCCGTGCGAGATCTGGTGCGGCGCACGGCGCTCGAGCGAGGGGGTCCACATGAAGACGAAGGCGTAGAGCGACGTCTCGTAGAGCGAGTTGACCACGCCGAGAGCTGGTGGAGAGATGGGGGAGATGTGAGGGAGATACGAGGGAGATATGGGGGAGACATGGGGGAGATTGGGGGTGCCGGTCAGGCACCTAGCAGCGTGCGGCTCGCGACGATCGCACGCCACGAGCGGAGCAGCGACGCGCTCGGCGTCGTCCGCCTGTCGCCGTACCGCTCGCTCCACTGCACCTGGCACAGGAAGGAGGCGAGCAGCAGCACGGGCGCGGCGACGTTGAAGGGAGCAGCGAATCGGTTGTGCCCCCCCTCGGCCGACGGCGGCGAGAGCTCGACGACGACGTGGCCGACGATCCCTACCATTCACCATTCACCGATTGACTACTCGTTAGGAAGAGGGCTCGACGACGGCGTGGCCGGCGATGCCTATCATTCATCATTCATTGTGCACTATTCATTGTGACGGCGGCTCGACGACGGCGTGGCCGGCGATGCCGGCGACGACGGCGGAGAAGGCGTAGACGCAGGAGGATGCGGCGAAGATATGGGTGAGCTGGCCGCGTGGCAGCTCGCACGCCTCGGCCTCGGCGATCAGCCACGACTCGAACGAGGTGAAGAGGATGGAGTACGAGATGCCGCCGAGCAGCCGGCTGGCCGCGAGGGCGAGGCCCGCCTACAGTGCTGAGTACGCCAGCCTCGTGCAGAGTCGTCAGAGCACCGCGTGAAGACGAGGGGATGCGAGTGCAGCGGAATGCAGATGAATACGGTGGAATCCGGCTGACTCCGTGTCCTCTCGAGCGCCAGTCGGGAGACGTGAACACACGTACGAATGTCGTCTTCCACTTCTAGGGAGGCCGGCTGGAGAGTTGGCAAGGAGGCAAGAGCCGGCGTAGAGGATGCCGTACGCGACGCAG